GAGAAGGAGATACAGAATCTGAAACAGGCTCCAGGCTCCAAGCTGTCCACCGAGCCTGATGCAGGGCTCTAATCCAAGAACCATGAGATCATGACCTGAGCAAAAGTTGGACACTTAACTGACTGAGCCACCTAGGTGCTTCTATCCTTCCTCTTCTTAATGTGATGTATCATGTTGATTTATCTGCAATATTGAACCATCTTTGTATCTCTGAAATAAATTCCACTTGATCATGGTAAATGATTTTTTAAAATACTTTTGGATTGGGTTTCCTAATATTTTGTCAAAGATTTTTGCATCTATGTTCATCAGACATAGTGGTTTGTAGTTTTTTTGTTTGTTTTTGTAGTGTCTTTACCTGGTTTTGGCATTGGGGTAATGCTGACCTCACAGAATGGATTAGGAAGCTTTCCATCCTCTTTTTTTTTTGGGGGGGGGAGTAGTTTGAGATGAATAGTTACTAACTCTTCTTCAAATATTTGGGGGAATTAACCTGTGAAGCCATCTGGTCTTGGACTATTGTTTGTTGGGAGTTTTTCATTGCTAGTAATTAGTTTGTTCACATTTTTATTTTTTCCAGGTTCAGTTTTGGAAGATTATATATGTCTAGAAATTTATCCACATGTTTTAGATAGTCCAATTTCTTGGCTTATACTTCTTTCCTAGTATTCTCTTAATAATCTTTGGATTTCTGTGGTGTCAGTTTATTTATCCTCCTTTATTTCTGATTTTTTTAATTTGGATCCTCACTCTTCTTTTTTTGTTGAGTCTGACTAAAGTTTTCTCAATATTGATCTTTTTAAAGAAACTGTTCCTGGTTTCACTGATCTATTTTATTGCTTTTTAGTCTCCATTTCATCTATTTCTGCTCTGATTATTATTATTCCCTTCTTTCTACTGGCTTTGGGTTATGTTTTTTTTTTCTCTGTATAAGTTTTAGAATAGTTTTTTCTGCATCTCAAAGATTTTAGAACTTTGTCTTTTTCATTTATGCCAATGTATTCTTTGATTTCCTCTTTGATTTCTTGGTTAATCCATTCATTATTTAATAGCAAGTTATTTAGTCTCCATGTATTTATGTTCCTTGCAGATTTTTTTGTGATTGATTTTTTTTGACCATCCTCCTTTTTTTTTTTTTAATGTTTATTTATTCTTGAGAGACAGAGCACAATCAGAGGAGGGGCAGAAAGAGACACACACAGAGAATCCAAAGCAGGATCTAGGCTCTGAGCTGCCAGCATAGAGCTCTATGCAGGGCTCAGACTCACAAACTGTGAGATTATGACCTGAACTCAGCTACCCAGGTGCCCCTGTTGTGATTGATTTCTAATTTCACTGTGTTCTAGTCTAAAAATACATATGGTATGATTTCAGCCTTTTTGAATCTGTTGAGACTTGTTCTGTGACCTAACATGTGGTTGATTCTGGAAAATGTTCCATGCACACTTGAAAAACATGTGTAGTCTACTATTTTTGAACAGTTCTGAATATATTTGTTAGGTCCATCTAGCCCAGTGTATCATTCAAAACCATTGTTGTTTTATTTTCTATCTGGATGATCTATCCATTGATAGTGGGGTATTACAATATACTACTATTATTGTATTACTGACAATTTCTTCCTGTATGTTTGTTAATAGTTGTTTCATGTGTTAAGACACTCCCATACAGGATCCATAAATATCTACAATTGTTATATCCTCGTGTTAGATTGTTCCCTTTATCATTATGCCGTTTCTTTCTTTCTCTATTGTTACACTCTTTGTTTTAAATTCTATTTTGTTTGATAGAAGTAGTTCTACCCTAGTTTTTTTATTTTGCTTCCATTTTCATGTTAAATGTATTCTGCCTTTCACTTCCAATCTGCCTATGTCTTTAGGTCTGGAGTCACCTTCTTCTAGGCAGTATATTGATCGGTCTTGCTTTTTTTCTCCCATTCAGGCATCCTGTGTTTTTCCATGGAGCATTTAATCCATTTACATTCAAAGTAATTATTGATAGGTATATGCTTATTTCCATTTTTTTAACTTGATTTATGGTGGTTTTTCTATTTCTTTTAGTTCCTTTCTTTTCTTACTCTCATCCTTTATGATTTGATAGTTTGCTTTCATGATATAATTGTATTTTTTTCTATTTCTTTTTTGTGTATCTATTACAGCTTTTTGATTTGTGGTTGCCATTAAGACTCACATATAACATCTTGGGAATACTGCAGTCTATATTAAGTTGATAGTGTCTGAATCCATTCTAAATGCACTAAATTTTTTACTCCCCTAAATGATGTTATATTTTACATCATTTTATTCTGTGAATACCCTGATTTATATAATTGATTTTACTGCTTTGTGTTTTAACTTCTGTACTGGTTTTACAAGTGATTAACCTACCTCTTTTATTATGTTTGTAATTACCTGTGAATGTTTTTCCTTTCTTAATTTCCTTACTTCTGTTTAGGGCCATCATTTTTACTGAAAGAATTCACTTAACATTTCTTGTAAGGCTGGTTTAATGGTGATTAACTCTTTTAACTTTTGTCTGGGAAACTTGATCTCTTTCTATTCTGAATGACAGTCTAAATGTGTGAGCGTTCTTGTTTGCAGACTTTTTTCCTTTTTGCACTTTGAATCTATCATGCCACTTGCTTCTGGCCTACAGAGTTTCTGCTGAAAAATCAAGTGACAGACTCATGGAATTTCCCTTGTATGTAACTATGTTCTTTTATTTTAAAATTCCCTATCACTACATTTCACCATTTTAGTTATTATATACTGATGTGGACCTCTGTGCCTCCTAGATCTAGGTATCTGTCTTACTCAGATTAAGGGAGTTTTCAGCTATTATTTCTTCAAATAGTTTTTCTGTGCCCAATTCTCACTCTTCTTCTGGGATCCCTATTATGCAACTTTTATAATGCTTGATGATGTGGTTGATACTGTATTTTTTTTTATTATTTTCTTTTTTGCTGTTCAGCTTGGTTGCTTTCCATTACTCTGTCTTCCAGCTTGCTGTCCCATTCTTCTGTTTTCTCTAATCTGCTCTTGATTGTTTCTAATTTATTTTTAATTTCAGTTTTTGAGTTCTTCAACCTGGACAGGTTCTTTTTCACATTTTCCATCTCTTTATTAAAGGTCTCACTGAGATTGTCCACTGTTTTCTCAAGTCCAGTGAGTATTTTTATGACTATTACTTTGATTTCTTTATCAGGCATATTGCTTATTACTCTTTCATTTAGCTCTCTTTCTTGATTTTGTCCTGTTCTTTAATTTGGGGAATATTCCTGTCTCCTCATTTTGTAAAACTTTGAGTGTTTCCATGTATTAGGAAATCAACTACGTCTCCTGATCTTGAAAGTAGTGGCCTTCTGAAGAAGTGTTCCTGGGGTGCCTTGTAGTGCAATGTCTTCTGTTCATCTGAACCAAGACACTTTATAGATGTGTCATATGTGGGTTGCATGTGCCTTACTTTTCTGGCTGAGTCTTGTCTGCCTTCAGTCCAATCAGCTGCAATGGCCTACTTTACCTGTTGTGGGCAGGGTTTGGTCCCAGGGCTTTTAAGGACCCAGTCTGCAGCCACCATGGACTTACGGGTTGAGCAGTATCAGCATTTAGATTGGATTCCTGCCCCTTAGTACATTTCCTGGGGCTGTGATAATACCAAACCACAGGACTTTCTCTCTCCCTATGCTGTGTCCTGAGAGGTTTTCATTGGTGGGATGGTCCTATAGGCAAACAATACCCCACCCCCAATTTATGGTACATGCAATGACCCCCAAATTGCAGAGCTATTCTCCCTATTCTATTCCTTGAGAGGTTTTTGTTGGCAGGTGGTACAGAAAGTCAGATTACTTACCTGCCCCCAGACAATCTGTTTGGGCTACAGATGCAGTGTCTGACAGGGCACTCTGTCTGCACTGCTGTTGCCCTTCTGTGTGTCATTTTTCCCTCTGCCCAAAGCAGGAATCACTCTGGAGTGCTGGCAGTCCTGGCTAAGGCTGCTTGCAGGATGAGATGGTACAGAAGCTACTTCGAAGGAACTCCTTCCTGGGGACGGGGGATGAGGGAGATTGGGGCAAATCTGCAGGAAAATGTGGGGTCAGGGTTTGTGGTGTTAGCAAGCTAGGTGGAAGATGCTTGTGCAGGTTCCTGCAGGTGTCTAGCTACCATGGGAGGTTAGAAGGAAGAAATGATGCCCACCAGATCCTTTGTTCTTGGAAAACTCTCTCCTAAAGAACCCTGCCTGTTCAGTGCACTTCTGAGGTTGGTAAATAAGTCTTCATGTATCTTAAATCTGTAATACTTGTTATGTCTCTTTTCATGTGATTTAATTCTTCTGTGTGTACTTGAAGAAATGTGCATTCTATTTTTCTTGGATGGAATGTTTTATATGTGTATCTTTTAGAACCTTGTATTCTGTGAGGTATGCCTCAAGTGAAAAAAATGTTGAAAAAAATAATGTTGAAAAATGACTTTAACTGAGTGTACACATTTAAAATATAGCATAACAGAGGGGGAATGGGTGAAATAAATGAAGCGAGTAAGAGTATACTTTTCATAAAGAGCACTGGGTAATAATGATAGAATTACTATATTGTACACTTGAAACTAATACAACACTGTATGCCTTCTGGAATTAAAATTTAAAACCTAATATACATATACATATGTGTGTGTGTGTATAATGAGGAAATGTCCTACTATTTGTGACAACGTGGATGGATTTTGAAGACATTCTGCTAAGTCAGAGAAAGACAAACACTGGATGATCTCACTTGTGGAATCTAATAAAAAACTAAAACAAGACAAATTCATTAAAAAAAATAGATCAGACCTGTGGCTGTCGGAGGTGGGGGGAGGGATAATCAAATACATGCTAGGAATGTAATGTACAGCATGATGATTGTACTTAATACAGCTGTCTGACTAGAGGAAAGTTTTTAAGACAGTAGATCCTAAGTCTTATAAGAAGGAGAAATTGTTTTCTGTTTTTTTTTTTTGTTTTTTAGTTCTATCTCAAAGAGATGACGGATGAAACTAAACCTGTTGAGATAATAATTTCACAATACAGGTAAAGCCATCATGTTGTGCACTTTATAAAGTAATATATATCAATTATTTCTCAACAAATTTGGGAAAAAATAATTCCCTCCCCCACCCAAAGAAAAAGAAGGTAGCATGCTAAGCTGATATCTGGAGGCTGACAAAGTTAGCTGCCTGAATGGGAATTCTACTCAGAGGTTTTTCTAAAAGGAAAGAAATGTGATGTGATAGTTAGAAGACTATAGCTGAATACAGGTTAAGGCTTTTAGAAATATATTATTTGCTTGTCCCATCCCCCCCCCATCTTAAGATGATCAATGTTTGAAGATCTTTATAGGCTGAGGAGAAAATCCAATAGAATTAAATGATCTGGGGAATGGGAAAAAAAAAACCCTTCATGTATACCCCAGGTGCTTTTGAAACTGCTGCTTCTATACTGTATCTCCGAGGGGTTGTTTGTTATACTGGCTCTTTAAGGGCAATTTCAATTTGTTATTGCTTTCAGTGCTCCCAGAGCCAAGCCCACTGATTTTTCAAGTACTGGAATTAAGCCTTGCTAGTTTTTGAAAAAGCCATATATTATAAGGACTTGCCTTCACAGGGCAGGTCCCCCATGCTCAGGATACCTGGTTGGGTTCTGCAATTCTACCCTCTGCTTGCTTATGGTGCCCCTTCTGTTTGTGGTTACTCTCACTAGGAGTTTGGTTCTCTAACTCCTAGTTAGAGAGTCTGCCCCCTCTCCTCCTGTTCTTCACGTGGCTATACTCTAGTTGTGTCTGTGGTATAAGGTGAACCTAAGATCCTCCTTCCCCACCATTTTCTCAGTGGCTCAGTTGGTTGGGTGTCTAACTTGATTTTGGTTCACATCCTAGGGTCATGGGATCAAACCCCGGGTCAGGCTCTGTGCAGAGTGTGGAGCCTGCTTAAAGTCTGTCTATCTTTTCTCCCACTGCCTGTCTCCCTCATGTGTTCTCATTCCCTCTCTAAAATAAAATTAAAAAATACATAGAAAAATAGAAAAAAAAGAAACATTTTCTTATAGACCTTCAAGCAGCTGATCAATGCAAGTGCATAACTTGTGTATGACTTTGCTAAAAGCCAAATCATAGCAAAATTGTACTTTTGTATAAATGTACAAATTTACTAACAAAATTTCATATTGTCCCTTTTAACTTTAGGTTTTTCTTAATATTTTTTATCAAAACATTGTAATTTTATTATCAAAAATCATAGAGAGCTGTGTGAGGCTAAATAAGAACTTTCTGTTATACACAGAGGGGTCCACTCTGGGCTCACATAGGGTCCATGTTTACTCATCAAGCTGCTGTTGAGACCAATGTATAATTTAGAAGGGAGGGAAAAGAGATTAGAGGCAATGAGTACTTTGCCTTTGCTCAATAGCATTGATCAAATAATCTGTCTGTGCCTATATAACATGCCTGAGAAAATAGTGTAGTTTTATTAGTGGTAACTTTCCAGAATCAATAACTTTTCTAATGAATATAAAAGCCTGGGTGCCTTGGAGTCCAAATTCATGCAATTGGATTGCTTGTTGTAATCAAGCAGTGGCATTAACGTTCTGATGTGATAAAATAAGTGTTTAGTAATTTAGTCCTCAACAGCTTCTGGCATTTCAACTCTTTGTTGGCATATAAAGCAGAAATTTCTCCTGTAGTAAAAAGTAATTTATTGACTTTTTTTTTTTTATCACCTGTGATGAATAGGTTATTGGACTTGTAAGCGTTTCTATTCAGACATTGTGGGACAGAAGTTGGCTGGCACCAACCTTAGCAAATTGAAATTCAATCTAGATCAATAAGGCGTTTTATTTAATTTGCTTCTCGAATAGAAATAATCATCACAGTTTCTAATAAGCATGTCTAATTTCAATTTTCACACTATGTATTTATTCTGTATAATCAAGCATAACTGCTGGCCTTGTTCTTCTGAGTTGACAAATGGATTCCATAGATGTGCACTTAGCAGGTAACTATATAGGAGGAGGTAGGGAAAGAGTATGCCTAGACACAATAATGAAAATTTGATAAATGCCTACCTAGAACTTGTAAATATTCCTAAGACTTTAATTGTATTTATTGATCGTCTACCTTGGTAACAACAACAACAAAATGTATGAATAAGGATATGTAATTTTCTTTACATAGCAACTAGCTTGTCTTTATGAAATATTTCCAAACTGAGGAAAATCTAAAAGCCTATGGATTAGATTAACTAATTCCTGGCTAAAATATCCTAACAGGCTATCAGCATTGAAGTGGTTAAATAAGTGTCACCTTGTGCTTTGTAACAATGCCTCGACATAACTGGTTTAATACAACAACCATTTATTTAGCTCACTATTCTATAGGTAGGGAACTTGAGCTAGACTCTGCTGGAAGGTTCTCGTCTCAGGTACAGTCATCTGAGCATGTCAGCATGAGGGTCAGCTGAGACAGCCTGGCCTCTCAGATAGTGAGTTGGTGGATGACTGTTAGTTGGGTGTCTGGCATACTCCAGAGGCCTCGTCTGGACTTAGCTGCTTGGTGGTCTCAGCACACTAATAAACAAGCATTAATGCACAAGCACTTCTACAGCTTCTGCACTCGTCTTATTTGCATATATCCTATTTACTAAAGTAATCAGTTACCCAATCACAGAGAAGGGGTGGTTAATGAGAAGGCACTACTGGGACACATGGATACAGGGAGGTGTGAACATACTGGAGCCTTGCCTGAAGCACTAGCGTGGGTCCTCGTTTCTTTAGCACTCCTTATCAATAGCTTGATGCATCACTTTCTCATTCCTACTGAGCTAAGCTGTATTTTTAAAGATTTTTTTGCCTAAGAGTTACTAATCTCGGAATATGGAGTAGTCTCCTAAACATCAGTTCAAAATCAAAAGAGATGGCAGGTGCCATTTCTTCCCCCCAAGACAATCTAGACAGCTAGACACTTGCAGAAACCAGTGTGAACATTCTCCATCTATCTTGCTGCAACACATGCCCCACTAGGGCATTCTCCTTTAGATCTGCCTCACCCAACCTACCCTGCTTGGTAGGCAGCTGCTGCTCCAACACACTCTGCAAGCAGCTCCAGCTTTGCCCACTCCAAAGTAACTCCTGCCCTGGTAAGAGGAGAAGGTGACAACAAACTAATGGGCTGGCAGTTTCAGCAGTCAAACCTTATAGCCAGCAGTGCAGAGAAAACACCCTACCAATCAGTTCAATTGTAACATCAGCAAATGGACTGGCAAAAGGCATCTGGTCTGACTGCTGGCCTCACCCACCAAGGAAAGCCTCTCCAGAAACCGGGCACAGGAGAACACGCTGCAGACCAGTCCTACTGCACACGCAGTAGAGGAGGCGGCAGGTATCTGGTCGGATTGCTGACATTACCCAACTACTAGCCCATGACAGCCCCAGGCAGATCTCATTTTCAGCGCAGAGACAAAAGCCTCCTGGTATACCAAGAACAGGCAAAGTGGGCCAATTGGCACCAACCGGGCTGAAGGCAAATGAGGTTCAACCACAGACAACCAACATAGGACATATGCTTGAAGTGCCCGATTCTGATGAACAGGAGACACTGTGTGATAAAGAACCACAGGAACACTTTTTCATGAAACCACTACTATCAAAATCAGGAGATTAAACTGATTTTCCTACCACAAAGAAGCACATACAGAGAGTTATACAAAATGGGGAGACAGAAGAATATCCCAAAATGAAAGAACAGGGCAAAATAAAGCAAAAGAGCTTTGAAACAGAGATAAGCAATAATGCCTGATAAAGATACTCACCAGACTTGAGAAACCAGTGGAGGATCTCAGTGTGATATTCAACAAAGAGATGGAAAATATAAATAAAAGAACCTACCTAGACTGAAAAACTCTATAACTAAAATAAAAAATGTACTAAAAGGAATCAACAGCAGATTAGAGGACACAGAATAATGGGTCAGCAAGCTGGAAGAGTATGGAAAGCAATCAAGGTGAACAAAAAAAAAAAAAAGAAAAATTAAAAATGACAATAGGTTAAGAGGAACTCAATTATATCATCAGGCACAGCAACATTCACATTATAAGGAGTCCCAAAAGGAGAAGAAAGAGAATAGGGGGCAGAAAATTATTTGACGGAAGAACAGCTGAAAACTTCCCTAAAGAAAGAGATGTCTATCCAGGAAGCACATAGATCCCCCAACAAAATTAATTAAAGCAGGTTCATATCAAGACTTACAATAATTAAAATGGCAAAACGTAGTGATGAAGAATCATGTATTAGGGAAACTGGATGAGTCTATCACTTGATTTTTCAGCAGGAACTTCACAGGCCAGAAGGGAGTGGCAAGATACTTTCACAGTGCTGAAAGGGAAGAACAAAATAAACAAACAAAAAAAGAAACTTGCAACAAAGAATGCTCTATCCAGGAAAGCTACCATTAGAATGGAAAGAGAAGGAATGAGTTTCCCAGACATATGAAAGTTAAAGGAGTTCATCATCACTACACCAACCTTACGAGAAATGTTAAAGAAATTTCTTCAGTGCAATTAAAGGTCATAATCAAGCAGAAAATTAGGAAAAGAAAATATTAGGAATGGAAAAAAAAATTACAGGTGAATATAAACATAATGAAAAAAACTGATTAATCACTTATAAAACCAGTACAAAGATTAGAGCACAAAAGCAGTAAAATCAATTATATATATATTAAAAAAAAAGGGATTCACAAAATAACAAGACATAAGATATGATATATACATAAAATGTAGGGTGTAAGGAGTAAAAATTCTGTGCTTTTAGAATGGATTCAAACTTAAGCCACTATCAACTTAATATATATTGCCATATGCCTAAGATTTATTTATGAGCCTAATGATAACCACAAATCAAAAAGCCATAATAGATATGCAAAAAATAAAGTGAATAATATCCAATCATCATTAAAGAAAGTAGTCAAACCACAAGGGAAGAGAGCAAGAGAAGAAAGGCACAAACAGGAAATGGGAATTTGTTTTATGGTTGGTTTTCTA